ACTAGTAGATTCCTCAAAAAAACATCTTAAAGATAGTATGATTAAAAATATCAAAGAGTGAGAAAGAACAAGAGAAAAGATTGATAAAACAAAGATAGAAAGTGAAATATATGCTTTAGTAATTTTTATCATTTTGGTTACTCTAGTGTAAAATAAATATTCTATAAATTGTATATTACTGTGAAATTTAAACCTTCAATTCTGGTTAATACTAGCCAGCACTCTTTCGTCAGAATTCTAGCTTGTTAAAGTCTTTTGATGTCAGCAAAATGATGATTTGCTGGTAATCACATTCAACTATGGCGGGGGGAGTTTATGCTTATCCAATGCTCTATCACTCCATTGCCATTTTTCTCCATCGTCATATATATTGCTCCCTGTCACCATTTTGCTCCATTGGTCCATCACTCCATCACCATTGACGTATTGTGGTGAGCAAATTAGAACTTTTCTGATCTTTTGGCACGCACGCTGAAATCGTGGCCTGCTTCTATATGGCATCACTTAATTGGCAGAATTCGTTTAGGATGGAAAATTTTCTATTTTAACCAGACAAGATATCTCTAGAGCCTTCTAATGTGCTCAACGAATATCCACTGCCTCGCTGATATATACTTCGAGAGAGATGGTACGCTGTGTCTAGTGTTTTCAGAGTTTCTCTTTGGAGTAGAAGCAAGTAGTAGCCATGTCGAAAGGGAGTGTCAAGGTCTTGAGCTTCTGGTCGAGCATGTTTGGCTTGAGAGTTCACTATGCACTGGATCTGAAAGGGGTGTCCTACGAATACCAGGAGGAGAATTTGTTCAACAAGAGCAAGGAGCTTCTCGAGGCAAATCCAATCTACGCTAAGATTCCGGTTCTCATCCACAACGGCAAGCCTATCTGCGAGTCTCTCATCATCGTCGACTACATCGACAGTGTGTGGCCCAATCCTCACAAGCTCCTCCCGGAAGATCCATACAAAAAGGCTGTGGCTCGCTTCTGGGCAGACTTTGGTGACAAAAAGGTAAAGTTGTCGCTTCTTCCAGGTTACTTGTTTCTCACTACCAACAGGTCTATGACGCCGGTAGCCGACTCATACGAGCTACCACCGAGGAGGAGCGCAAAAAAGCCAGCGAGGACTTGAAGTGGGCTCTGATGAAAATCGATGAAGCTCTCGGCACCATCGCTCCACGCAAGCCTTTCTTTGGCGGCGACTCAATGAACTTTGCAGATGTTGCTCTGGCTCCATTCATCTGCTGGTTCAAAGGCTACCAGAAAGTGGGAGGATTCGTGCTTCCAGGCCCGGAAGAATGGCCCAATCTCCACAAGTGGGTGACCGCCGTAAAGTCCGTGGAAGCGATCAGGAAATCCACTCCAAGCGAAGACAAGGTTGCTGAATTCGCCGAGGTTATCAGGAAGCGAGCTATCGGGTCTGCATAAAAGTAGGACGTGCCAAACTCGAAATCTCGATGTATATATGTAAATACTACTTTGAATAAAGAAGAACCGTTGTATATAAGCTGATATCCATTTGTCACAAAGCTTGATAGAAGTTTGAATCTCAACATTGAATAATTTCAAATATTGGCAATCTATTCTAATTTAATACCTTAACCCTTTTAATATTAAATAGTTAAGCAAGTATTATTGACAAATATTAAATTAATCGTATGGTAGTTAAGACTTCTTAACAATTAATATCAGAGGGAGGTTTCGATCCTCCGACCTATGGGTTATGGGCCCACCACGCTTCCGCTGCGCCACTCTGATATTTTGAAAGTGATCAATTTTTTTTTTAATTTGCCCAAGAACTTGGCCATTTTTATTGTACAGTTGTGATCCAAAACCCATAAAAACGAGTTAGATGTGTGTGGTACAACACTCCTCTCTCAAATTCATCACCTGGAACCGTCTCCACAACAGAAATTGTCAGCCTCTTTGATTTATACCTGAATGATCTGTGCTCTTTTTTTCTTTCTTTCCTCTCAACTTGACAACCTTCGAGTTAATATACCGACCGTGACCGCAACTCTGCTGCCCTGTAGTGCTGCTGCTCTTGATGGACGCCTCTCGCTGACTTTGGTGGGCGATTTGTGGCGGGAGTGGTACTTGCCGCTCGCCGGTCCTGCGTGTGTAGTACAAGGAAAAGAAACCATCTTAGCTGCACTGCCAGTGACACAAGAATTGCAAGCACTTACGTCGCGATACGGGTACTCGTCCGCCTCGAGCATGTGAACGACGTGCCCCATCTTGGGCCGCTTCGACGAGTCCGGATCCACGCACCGCAGCGCCACCAGCAACGCTCGCTTGAGCGCTCGCGACGCTGGTTTGGGCTCCAAGTTTGGGTCCGCTACTTCTTCCGAGCGCCTTTGCCCGACCATGAGCTTCAGCCAGTCCACAAGATTAACCTGTCGTGAGCAAGCAATCCAGAGTCATACAGGTATCTCAGAGTGAATTTTATATGTACGTACCTCTGAAGGAGGCCGGCTATAGTCCACGGGATCTCTTCCGGTGACGACCTCCATGAGGAGGACACCGAAACTATACACGTCGCTTCGCTCGTTGAGCAATCCTGTGTTTGCATATTCTGGAGCGACATATCTGCAAAGATCAGAGTCACGCGCCATTCGTGAGACTGTCGAGAGAAGAAATGCTTGTGTACTAAGTTATATACCCGAACGTGCCCATGACTCTTGTAGTTACGTGGCTCTTGCCAGCTCCCAGGAGTTTCGCAAGCCCGAAGTCTGATATCCTGGCGTTGTAAGTTGAATCAATGAGTATGTTGCTTGATTTTATGTCCCTATGTACAACTTTGGGCTCCAAAGCTTCGTGCAGATATGCTAACCTGGCACGCAGAGAAGCAATCGAATCAAACAGCTGTGAGTAACTCGGGGTGGTCGAATAAACATAAGGCAAAGACTTACGCTTTGGCAGTCCCGAGAACAATTTTCATCCTTGCCTCCCACGTCAACGACTTTGTCCTCGAGATTGGCCCGTGGAGCCATTGCTCCAGATTCCCATTGTCTACGTACTCGTAAACCAGCATCCTTGCAGAGCTCAAAGTCAGCTAAAAGTCCAATCGGAAAACTATCTCACCTGTGACAGCCTTCAACGCAGTAGCCCAGCAAGCGAACAAGGTTTTTATGTCTCACTCGCCCGATTGCCTCCACCTCTACTCTAAACTCTTTCTCGGCTTGTCCTCTGCACAAACAAGAATTGGTAAAGTGCGGAGTAACAACAAAAAAATGGCCTACCTGTTGTTGAGCAAGTTCTTGACGGCAATCGGAGTCCCGTCCGGTAGCTTTCCTTTGTAGACAATCCCATAACCACCCTCCCCGAGAACGTTGCAGTCCGCAAAGCAGTGCGTGGCAGCATCCAATTCTCGCAGTGTGTACCAGTGCCCCCAACCCAAGTGTGAAACTTCCGCTGCTTTACTTCCACCTCGAGCTCCGGGAGAAGCTAGTCTCTCGGTGCTTGCCGGAGTGGAAGAATGCTGCGTTTGATCGGGAGAAGACGATGCTTGGTTTGATGGCAGCCCCCTCGAGCTCTCCTTTTCGATCTGAGTAGCACTCACACTCTGGTGTGAGACGCTCGCTGGGCTTCCTCTCTCGGGTGTGTCGCGGTGTGAGAGCGATTGCATCACGTAGCCAGCGGCATTGTCCCGGAATTTCCCACCCCTGGTGGTGGTGCTAAATCGTTTGCCTTGGTGGCGATCCTCCTCCACGGCACAGTCGACGTGAACGATGATCTTCTCCAGCCCCTTCTCCGGTGGCGAGACGCTCCTCGCCAGCGCCACTCCTCCTCCTCCTCCATTGGTCGCCCTCTTGTGATGATCGACCTTGACCTCCTGGATCTCCTTTGATTCGCTGGGGATGTTGTGGAGCCGGAATTTGTCGTCGGTGTTCTTCTTTCTCGACACGAGCCACATCGAGAGGAAGAAGAGGATGAGGATGATGAATGCCCCGACGGCGATGCCCAGCACTACCCATAGCTTGAATCCAAAGATCACCGTGCGCCTGGACAGCTGATTCGTGAGGTAGCCGCCGCCTGCCATGGCCGATCGGTAATCCCGCTAGATCCAGAAAGAAAGAAAGAGGAGTCTTGCTCCTCACGCCGCTGCGTCAGAGACCCGATGCTCTGCCACACATCTTCCAACGCAAAATCTATCGGTCAGTCGCGCATTCTCGGGAGCGCCTCGCGATGCTTACCCTGGACATCGCCGGAGATCGTCGCGGCCACAATGCGGCGCCGAGACTACATTGCAGAGGTCGCCGCCACCGCTGGAGGAATCGCTCGCGCTCCAGAGCTTACAGCTCCATCGATCGTCGCCAAGCGCGGCTAGGGCTCCGGAGGGCGCAGTGGACGACGATGGATCAATCCCCCTGACGAAGAACATAGAATACCCACAGAATTAAAACAATTCTACCCCTAGGGTTTAACCTTAAACGGTTACAAGACCCGCACACGTGGCGCCACAAAAACCGTCCGATCCGATTTAGCCGTCGTTAAGCCTAAACTTGGTAAATCTCCTTCACCGCCCTGCCACGATTTTCAAATGGGCGACATAAGGTAAAAGGAGAGATGCCCAAGATTCCAACGGAGTAAAAAATGCCGGCTTAGCTTCACGCTTTACCTCTGTTTAATCAAGAAGTGTGTGCGTAATTTCTTCTTGCCCGTTGAGAATCTAGTGGTACCCGGCCCGAGTAAAAAAGGTGGGTTTTACCTGGGGTAACGGCTCCCGGAGGTGGCAGGTTCGATCCTCGCAGAGCATGATGGAAGCAATACCTTTCAAAGCGGAGGGTATTTCTACGCCTACGGTCACTGCCAGCTTTTCTTGTGGTGTGTGACAATATGATTCATTCATATGAAGGTCCGGTACATACATTGGTCTTGTTATGATTGGAACCAACGGCGGCTGAGCTGTCGTGACACGTCATCGTGACGTGGACGTAGCGTCGAGAAGAGTTCTAGAGCTTGACAGCCTACTGTCTATGGAAAGAACCAAAAGTTTTCGATCCAAATTTTATAGCCTGAATGTAAGTTTTTTTTTATTTTCTTGTCTGAAATTCGTAAAGGACAATATATAAATTATTCCTTGTCAACAATAGATGGCATGATGTTGGCGTTTCAATGGAACTTCCACTTCATTCCACCCAATCTCCAGTGCGTGGCTTGAAAATCGCTTTAGAAAAGAAGATTGAAAAGGACCTTCATTGACGAGCAACGCTACGAGTGTGGCTTCTCCTGGAGAGAGACAAATTCCCACAGTGATTGAAACTCTGGCAGCTTTGAAGAATCGACACCAAGTTCATCCAGTTTTCGGCCGTGTTCCTTCAAAGACAACAAAGATCAGGTTTTCGGAAAACAAAGACCAAGCTAGAATACCTGGACGTCCAGGAGGAGCTGCGCGCAGACTTTGTCCGTGTTTGAGATGTTGGCATCGTTTGCATCGGGTCCAGCGCCCGTTCTCTGCCGTGCTTGTCGAAATCTCAACAGGGATGACTCCGTTTTCCGTAGCTGGATTCCAATGAAAACAAAAGAAAACGATTGTCATTCTTCCCGTCACAGCTTTGTCAACGATGTTTACCCCTTCGACGAGATCCCGAATCTGCTGATCGTAGTTCTTTGTCACCTTCTTCGCCACAGAGTTAAGTATTTCCAAGCGGCAGGCATCTGACATGTAGGCGTTATGGTCTCCTTGTAGAAAAGCCTGCAAGTCCCAGCGAGAAAATATTAGACCATGGAGAAAACTTTCGGGGACGAATCTGTACCCTCAGCGCTTGTAGAAGATTTGTTGCAACGTGTGAATGGTGAGTTGGAAGTGGCTTGATCGTCAAGCGGTACGTCGTTGTGATTCCTTTCAGATTTTTGAGCTCCTGAAAAAAAAACACACAAATTGTTAAGCGGACCAAGCACACCTCCAGCCCATGGTACGAACCTCGACACACTTATCAGCCAGTGTGTCCGTCAGTACATCCGTGAGTACTGGAACAACGTCGAGAAGATTTTGCGCCGCGGAGAGAATGCTTTTTTGGGAGAGATTTGCCGAGGTTGGACCGAGAACTCCCAAAGCGTAATCTAAGTAGGATCCTGTAAGTTTTTTATGGAGAAGCTCAACGTCATGCCTGAGCTGCGGACAAAACAAACGTAAGACCAAGCAAAGCGCAAGTTTTATATACCAAAAGAATGTCTTCCGAAGACGCCGAAGTTGCCCACGAACTGGTATCAGCAGCACTTCGTGACGCCATACCAGCAGAAAGCCATCGTGCATACCTGCATATGCTTGTTATACTCGAGCAACGAAAGAATTACGTAGTACCTGGAGATCAGCTGGAGGCTTAGTTTCAAAAACTTGTCCGAGAGTGATGAGACAAACACATTCTCATCCCAGCAACGCTGCAAACATTCAAGGAGCTTATCACTGGACTTGAATGCAAAATCGCTCTCCTGGCACCGTTTTAGGCCTTCAGTGAGTGTTTGATCAAAAGAGCTTGCAATTTCCTGAAAACTTTACGGGTCGAGTCTGAATGCATTGATAAGCTTCCAAAGTGAAACACGTACCGCAGGGTAAAATAAGCTGGCAAGTTCCAAAGCTTCACGAATTCAGCATAGCTTGCTTGAGAACGAAGAGCAAGAACCGCCGCTTGTGACTGACAGTATCCTGAAATTGATATGCTTGAGTCGGTCTTTCTTAGCAAAACCCAAGCTACATACCTTCTACTACCGATAGAAACTTCAGGCTTGACTTGTAATTTGCCAAAAACTCTGCTGGTTTCCCAGGTGAAAGTGCGCCAGGCTTGCCTGCCACTATCGCTGAGCGCACTTCTTTAAGAATGGAGTTTCCAAGAAAATCGAACACATTAAGTCCAGAGTTTTCTGAAAAGAAACGAGACCATAAGAAAACGAGCGAAAAAAGAAAAACGCATTTGGAAAGCTTACCAGACGCTACGATATCCAACATGAACTTACAATCTCGAGCAATATGCGCCTCGACCTGTTTATAGTCTTCCTCCAGCTTGTCTGCGGCTCCTCCACCCACCAAGTCTTTGGAAGAATTCCCAGGAAAAATCCTGGAGACAAAAGGTGCCACAATTGTGATACGAAAAGCCTCTTCAGCTCCAGCAGTGTCGTCAATAGCCGCATAAGCACGTAGACAATGGTAGAGAACCTTCTCGTCACGCCTTTCCAGCCCCGTTTTAATACACTTCTCCAAGTTTTCTCTCAAGGAGGCATCGGCATTCTGGATCCTCTTTTCTATGGTTTTGATAAACGGCAAGTCCTGTAATGAAATGTTGACAAGAAAGATAAGTGTCACCTTTTCCGAAAAATAGAACTTCACCTGGACGCGGGCAACATAGAACTTTAGACGATTCATCTCACTCGCAATTCGCTCCAACAATCGACTCCGCGGGTCGTCACCACTGTTGTCGACCGGATCCATAGATCCTTCACTGCCACTCACTAGATTTCCATTGGATATTCTATTTTCCTTGAGCTCCAGCAAGAGCTTCTCGATCTGCAAGCAAGCTAGGAATCGAAATAAAAGGACTCGTTCCACTCGATCTTACCTTGGAAACCACATGAGAGGTGTCGAGCAGCAACTCGAGAATCTCCCGCGACGCGGAGGCCTCGGATCTCCGCTTGAGCGCGTCCTGGAGCGCGAGCAGCGCTCCATCGACACCATCGCGCACGGTGACGAGCTTACCTCGCAGCTCTTGCAATGGCGTGCGCATCCGGAGCACGGCACCGTCCACATCCACGAGCTGGGTGCTGAGGCTCACGAAATCGTTGTAATCCCTGTTGATGAGCTCGACGAGCTCGTTCTTGAGCGCTGCAAGGTGACTGCGCAGCTCGCCGCGCAGCGCCTCGAGCGGCACGAAGCTGCGCAGGCTGGAAATGTGGGCGTCGCAGTCGAAATCCGGATCCATGAATGCATCCTTCTTGAACCACAGCGGCAGTGGATCCGGATCATCGCCAAACAGCATCGACGCCATGCCCTCTAATAGCCCTAAAACCTCTTTTTTAAGTTTAGGTCAAGGTTTTGAGTTTAAACCTTTAATAAATCTTTCAAATTGAAATAGTTTGAGAATATTCTAAGAATGATCAAGGTTATTATTGTTAATAATTTTAAACCACATCATTTGCCTAGATCTGGGTGAAACACTAAGGATGCATTGGCCTCATTCTTGTTGGTTTACGCAATTGTGAAGGTTTGGAAAATGGAATTTTCGCAAGGAAAATTTATAAGATTTTTGAATTTTGAGATGAAGTAATTCAGATTTCTATGTAAAATGATTTTTAAATTTCTGATTTGTGATCAGTTATAGACCTCTAGAAATATTATATAGAATAGCAAATGACTTTATTTCTCTTTGAAAGATGTAAAATTTATTGATTTCGAAAAAGGGAAAAATTTACATAATTTTTTCCATGCCACTGCAAATTAATATAAATACAATTAGAGTTTTCCAAAATTAATAGTTAGTTAATATTATTAATCAGAAACCAATGATAAGTATCACATTTTTTTTAATAAATAATTTTTTAAAGATTTTCTAAAGTTGCAACAATACTTATTGATTTGTTAGTTCTAGATATTTCATAATTTTTATAAATTATTAATAAACAATTTGAGAGTTCTTTTGAAAAAGATGCAAACTAACCTTATATACCTTAAACTTTTTATCTAGTGAAAAATAATAGTGATTAATAAAAAAATAGTTTATTATTTATAACAGATTTATTTCTATTTAAAGTTATTAATAAATAACCATAATTAATAAAAATAATTTTATGTAATATGCAATGCTTTGCTTTTAATAAAATTAAAAAGTTTGATATAATTGTATCAACATATTATTTAATAGGTATCCTTCCATTTAAATTTTGGTATAATTATATTAACATACTTTTAGTATGTATTAGGATATAATTCAATTTAGATTTAAATTAATATAAAATTATAAATTATTCAATTTGATTTAACAATCACAAAGCCAAAATGGTGCAACTAATAAAAATAAAAGTAATATTATTAACTTGTGTACCATATAATAAAAACTATAAACAAAAACTTTATAATTAAGTTTATAAATAATTTATAGGGTTTTCCCATATTTTAAGTACTATATTAACTAATTAATAATTAAAATTTCTAATTTTTATAAAAGTATATCCAGTTTTTAAATAGTAGCATAATAGTATTTAGTAATAAATATACCATTTACATGAGAAAATATCCCACTTACACTAGGACTAATTCCATAATACTATTGAAGTTTCATCTTTAAAAATGTAATGAAATGTGACCATCATGGCAAAAAATATTATCAAATAAAAACTTTATAAAATAAAAATTTTTCTTGAGTACAATAGACATATGTAATACCAATGAGTGAAAAATATTAGATATTTTATAATATTAATTAGTTAACATAATTTTTAATTTTATAGATAATTAATAATTAAAGGATCTTAAGGTTGAGAATTTGATCTTTATTCTCCGCCATTGAGGGCTCCTGCCCTCAAGAATCCTACTTGTTTAATATAGTTTGGGGTTTATCTATTTAATTTAGAATCAATAAATAAATTTAAAATATTTATTAAGGTTGAGTTTTTTTGTGACCATCATGTCAATTCTTTGCAAATTGAAGGTAAGTGAAGTTATTTTGATGTTGATAAATTTATTATAGATTTATTTTTATCTATTTTTATTTAATTTTATTTTCTTTTGAGAAAGAATATATCAGTATTATGAACCATAGAAATATTTATAGAATATTTTATAGCCTAGATTAGGATACCCTAAACATTTTTAAGTAAAATAGAATTTTATATCACTTACTTTTAAAATTGAATGATTTTACCTAGAAAAATAATGTTAATCATCTCCTAAAAGTCAAGTAATATAAAATAACTTAACCACATTGTGAGAAGAAGAAAAGAGAATACTAGTAAGTCCATATATGATAATGTTGTCCATGTCTGGAACAATTTTCGCAAGTAACAGCATTGGCGTTAGTACACCTCAAATCCATTTTGCCAACTCAAAGTGTAACCAAATTCAATACCCAATCATCCAAGTCGATTGAGCATTCATTTTTTGTACAATCATGATTCTTTGTCTTTTTTATATTTTCATTAATAGTTTTTGGTGCATTTATTTATGAGATCACCTCAATTGTATAAAATAAATTAAAGGGGTTCTCATGGCAATGGTTTAAAAAACATTATTTCATTGTAGCCTCATAAATAATCATGATGTAATCTCTGTAGCACTTGTTCTTTTTTATAAGATTAAGGTCCTCAAATAAAATGGTCCACTCTTTAGCATGAGTAACATAATTAATAATTTTAATTTTTTATATTAGTATTTATATTTAAAAAATTTATAATATAATTCTAAAAGAAGTAAAGATAAATATATATTTTAAGTATTTACTAAAAAATTTATTCTTTTATATTATTAATTTTTCTTAAACATTTAGCATTATACTTTCTTATTTATAAGTTTCTTAAAATGTATTTGTATTTAGTATGCTTGAGTATACTTAATCGATAAAAACTTTTTTTCACCTTGTTAAACTTCTTATTATTGTTTTTTATTTGATTCACATTGAAATATATCAGCTTGTCATTGCAAAGTATAAAAATTACATTTGAGATCCATTTATTAACAAAATAAAACTATAATACTATGAAACACTCTTCCTTTAGATTGTAGTGAAAAACTTTAATTATAATCATTTAGTTTTACCTCGGGTTCATAAAGCAATCTGGAGGTCGTCAGTACGGTACCGCGTACCGGTGTTGAAAGCTTTGCAGCAGTTTGTAGCCCACGCCCACGCACAACAGCGACGCCCTCCACGCCATTTCGCGCAGCAGCCAGCCAGGAGGACCTTTGCTGGATTTCACCCCCTCCTGCTCAATTTCTTTCCCAAGGCTAATCCAAACAAGCACGCGTACATCATGGGTTGAAACTTGGGGTGGCGAGAAAATGCTGTGAAAAAATCAGTGTGAACTGACACAAACCACTTTGATCTTTGACCTCATCGCTTCCATGATCATGGCCTGATCTTGGCTTCCGCTACAACAAGAAAACTAATGCCAATTAAGGGGCTCCGCTCCGCCTCCGCCGGTGGTTCCCTGGCGTCGCCGCCGGTTGGAGGCGCATAATGATAACCCGCCAGTTTTCGCGGCAACGGCGGTGGAATATACTCCCACGACGCTGTGGAATATACCGTGCCGCGGGTGCTTTCTTGTGATGGATCCGCGCGAGATTGTTGTGCTTCTGTGTGCGAGTGTGAGTGGCGTCGCCTTTTCTTTTTCCCTTTAACTTTTTCCTGCGCACAGACTCATCATCCATTGCTCGCATTCTCGCGGCGTCCGTTTCCTCGTTGCCGTGTGTTGTTCCGTTTCGAGAGAGGGGCCCCATTCTCCACCCATTTGATTTTCCTTCCCCATTCTTCTTCTTCTTTGCTTTGTCTTTCGCCTATAAAATATTCTAGGCATTCCAGTGCGAGCACCACCACCGACACTCATCGATCTCATTCATTCATTCGCCTCTTCCAAATGCCTCTCGTCTTTGCTCCTTCGTGTCTCACCCCGAGAGTTCTTCGCTCCCCCGTCGAGTAAGCTCTGAGGAAGATCTCCCAGCTTGTAGTAGCGTGTGATTCTTCCGCGGGATTGGCTGAGATGGGCTCTCTCCTCTTCGCATTGGGTCTCGGGATCGCCGCTTCTTTGCTGGGATCGATCGCGTCATTGGCGGTGGCGGTGGCGGCGGCGCAAGAGCCCGCCGCCAGGAGCTACATTGTCCATATGGACAACTCCCAAATGCCCGATTCCTTCCAGCACCACCAGCATTGGTACGCATCGCTCGTAGCATCCGCCAAAGATGCCACCACTGATTCCATCTCTTCCTCCTCCGCCACTACCATCTCGGACGATCTCCTCCTCCACGTCTACGACACGGTCCTCCACGGCTTCTCCGCCGTACTCACTCCCACACAGGCCGAGGCCATCCAGCGCCTCCCCGGATTTGTGGCCATGGCCCAAGATACCAAGAAGGAGCTCCACACCACCCACAGCCCGGGCTTCCTCCATCTCAACTCCAGCTATGGGCTGTGGCCCAAATCCAAGTACGGCGACGACGTCATCATCGGCGTGTTCGATACCGGCGTCTGGCCGGAGAGCGCGAGCTTCAGCGACCACCGGATGTCCGCGATTCCCTCCAAATGGAAGGGCATATGCCAGACCGGTCCCGGGTTCGAATCCACCGCTTGCAACAAGAAGCTGATTGGCGCGCGCTACTTCTTCCGCGGCTACGAGGCGATGAGCGGGCCAATCAACGGCAGCACCGAATTTAAATCGCCGCGCGACTCGGACGGCCACGGCACCCATACCGCCAGCACCGCCGGCGGGAGGTACGTGTACCGTGCGGACATGCTAGGGTTTGCCAGCGGTACCGCCGAGGGGATGGCGCCAAAGGCCCGCATTGCCGTGTACAAGGTGTGCTGGACGTCCGGCTGCTTTGATTCGGATATTCTGGCGGCGTTCGATACCGCCGTGGCAGACGGCGTGGATGTGATCTCGCTGTCCGTGGGCGGCGGCGTCATGCCGTACCGCATGGACAGCATCGCGCTGGGGGCATTTGGCGCCATGACGCGCGGCGTGTTCGTTGCCACGTCAGGCGGCAACCAGGGGCCAGGTCAGCTGTCCGTGACCAACGTGGCGCCGTGGATCGCTACCATTGGTGCCAGCACAATGGACCGGGCATTTCCCGCCACTGTCAAGCTCGGCAATGGCGAGTCCTTCCAGGGCGTGTCGCTCTACAGCGGCAAGGGTTTCGCGGCCGGGGAGGAGATCCCGCTCGTCTACTCCGCCGACGCTTCTGTCGGCAAGAACGGCAGCGATTCCTACTCGGCGAGCCTGTGCCTGGCCGGATCGCTGGATCCCAAGCTCGTCCGGGGCAAGATTGTGCTGTGCGATCGAGGTAACAATGCCAGGGTCGAGAAGGGGGGCGTGGTTCTCGCCGCCGGCGGCCGCGGGATGATCCTCTCGAACTCCCCCACCGACGGCGAGGGTCTGATCGCCGACAGCCATCTCCTTCCAGCTACCGCCGTCGGCAATGCTGCTGGAAGTTCCATCAAGAACTACATCAAATCGGCGAAATCTCCAGTCGCGAGCATCAAATTCCTGGGCACGGTTCTAGGGACTTCCCCAGCGCCGGTGGTGGCATCGTTCTCCTCCAGGGGCCCCAATCCAGAGACGCCCGAGATCCTCAAGCCGGACATGATCGCTCCCGGGGTGAACATCCTGGCGGCGTGGACGGGCGCCGCGGGGCCGACTGGATTGGCATCCGACACTCGCAAGGTCCGATTCAACATCATCAGCGGCACATCCATGGCCTGCCCACACGTCAGTGGATTGGCGGCGCTGCTCAGGGGCGCTCACCCGGATTGGAGCCCCGCGGCGATCAAATCCGCGCTCATGACCAGCGCCACCCTCGTGGACAACACCAAGAACATCATGTCCGACGAGGCCACCGGCAACGTGTCAACGCCGTTTGACTTTGGGTCGGGGCTGGTCAACCCCGAGACGGCCATGGATCCGGGGCTGGTCTACGATCTGGGCAGGGAGGATTACATCGAGTTCCTGTGCAGCCTCAACTATTCGTCCAAGGACTTGAGGATGGTGACGAGATCCAAGGCCTCTTGCCCGACGAGCGTGCCCAAGACGAGCGATCTAAACTATCCGTCCTTCTCGGCGGTGTTTGATCAAAGCGTCAAGGGGCCGATGAAGATGAGTTTCAAGAGGACGGTGACGAATGTGGGGTCGCCCAAGGCGGAGTACGTTGCGAGCGTTTTGGTGCCCAAAGGAATCGAGGCGAGCGTGGTGCCCAAGAGGCTCTTGTTCTCGGAGCTCAACCAGAAGTTGAGCTACACGCTGACGATCAGCGCGCCGAGAGCGGCGGTGGTGCCCGGGGATATCGAGACGGTGTTTGGGCTCTTGACGTGGTCGGATAGCCAGCGGATGGTGAGAAGCCCGATCGCGATCAGTCGCCAGGAGCCGTATTGATCGATCCATCAGTCGGTGGTGATCGCCAGCGAAAGTTTCGATCGACCACACCAGCAAAGTTAGTGGAAGGAGGCATTCAAGAACAACCAACGAGGAACAATCTGGTTTGCTGTCTTCACTTTTTCTTTCCAGCTTGTTTAGATGCTTGCTGCTCAAGCGTGTCAATGAATCGAGCACAGCAAAGAGCAAAGTGACTTTGTAAATTTTCGACGGATTGTGGGGAATCTTCAAAGGCTGCTTTTGTGCGTTGTTCTTGTGTGTGTGATCGCCATAACTATAGAGTACGCCATAACTATAGTGTACGAGAAAGTGGTCTTCCTTCCAAATGGAAGGAATAAAGCGTTAAAGGAGAAAAGAGAAAAGCCCTAAAGTAATGTTCTGCCACGTGGCATGTTATTCTATTTACACGTGGGTAGAATTTAGGGGTACACGTGGCGCTAGGGCTTTGTGAATTTGATTCTTGGCATGGCGGGGGAGGAAGAGAGGAGCGGCATTGGCGGCGCAGTGGCGTTCGTAGGGAGGATCTTGGCGCTCCTTACCGCTCAAGAAGCTGTGGAGAGATTCGTGTGCGAGGAATACGAGAGATCGATTCGCTACATTCGATCAATGCTCGTGCCGGACGTCGCTCCGCGCCCGCTGCCTCCATCGCCGATAATCTTGCACCAGCAGCAGCTGGAGAAGAGGATGATGAAGAGGTAGAAGAAAATGTAGCTCGGGTTTCTATGTCGTAAGTACCAATCGCTGGAATTTTTTGTTCTTTCTTTGTTTTCTATATCCATCTGGATCGCAGTGGCGCGTCTTCCAAAGTCAAGGTACTCGCACTACGTTTTTCTTTCTTTGTGTGATTGTCGCTCATTAAATTTGTGCTTCACAGCAACCAATTCGTGGAGTCGCGATCAAGAAGAAACCTTTGGACAGCAAGGTAGGATGCACGCTCATACTCTGTCCCTTACACGTTGTATTTATTTCAAAGGTTGGTTACAACAGTGCGATCGCTCTCAAGCATCCCGTGTCCCCTGACTCTACGAGCTTGTCTTGTTCTTCCATAGAGTTCTCTCCAGCGTTTGAGAGTTTGCTCCGGTGGTCCAAAGAACAGGACGGTAACAGAGCAAAGGACGCTACTGCAACCTGTCTGATCGCTTTAAAAGGAGGGAGGTTGTCGCGGCAGAGGATCTCACAAGGTGAAAAGAGATTCATTGCTCAGCTTGGTAGATTGGAAAATGGCACCCCTTCTTACCAGGTAAGCTTGGAATATTTACTTCTCTCGCATTTCTTATTCTGTCGTCGCTTTTCCCAGATCCAAGACATGCAAATGCATCTCGGGAAACTGATTCAAACTTGTAAAAGCAAAACTGTCGGCTTCTTGCTGAGAATCGCTCCTGGTAAGCTCTTTGCATTCTCTATTTTAGCTAATGAAGCGAAGGAATCGTTTTTAGAGCCTAGAGTTTCAAAGCATCGAGATACATGTATGATTGCTCTTTTGAGGGAGTGCTCGAGAGAAGGAACCAGTCTTGTGGACTTGAAAGGACGAAGGATACTAAACGATCGTCCCCATAGCTATGATAAACTCTGGATGTACAAGATTCCAGGTACGAAGCAAGTTTAGATGTTCCAAAAGTGTCACGAATTAAATTCTTCTTCCAGGTGTTGCGAAGATCCTTGAGCGAAATTTGACTCCTCTAAACATCGGGACTGGGGGAATTGTCTACAATGATCCAAAGGTAGCACTCTTTTATAACTGGTTTTCTCATAACTTCGATGGTTAGCAACTTTCACGGGTTCTGGTACTTATTCAACGCTTGGAGATAGTCCTCATACGATGGTATCTGGAAGCAGGCGTTGGAGAATTTATTGAGAAGGCTACCAGGTGACTACTGAGTGCTGACTTTTTCTTTTTTCTTTCTGGCCAATGCCTTATCTGTTGTGCAGGAGTAAGTTTGATCTTAGACACTGCACACTGGCACACACACTCTTGTGCAAGGAAGGCAGGCGCTCTTTGGTGATTGCCCAGAGAGATTGATTTGGATATGCTTAGGCAATGAACAGCTTTTTATGATCTGTTGTAATGAACGTTTTTGTTTCTTTGCATGGCGGTGTTCGTATGGCGGTGCTTGGCTGGAGAGATTCGTGTGAAAGGCCATGAATGGCTTGTTCTAACGGTTTTGTTTAGGAGTGGTGTGGAAAGCTGTGCTCCTTGATGATCCTCCTGGAACAAGGCCCCCTTCAAGCGATTCCGGGCAATTGAAGGTTGGGTTCTTGGACAGTGGTTATAGGAATCTAATCCAATCTCGTTCCTCGATATTTGAAAGGCCCTTGCAACAAAGCAAGGTTGGCTGTTCCTTTCATTATTAAGGTGTGATAATAGTATAGGATATTTTTGTATTTGAAAAGGATTCCCCAAACTTAGATTGTCACTGTTGCTCTATGAAGAATGACATAAACAGCCCAAATGGCTCATTTCACCCAGAGAGATATAATTATCAGTAAGAGTTTTGAACTCTTTATATGATTCTTTTGTAATAGAGAAAGTCCTAAAATGATCATTTAAGATATCATTTTAGAATGCTTAAAGTACTCAGAATTTCATTCTATTATGCCCAAAAAACTCATCCTCATAGAATGACTTATACTCATATTTATATGGTCATATATCTGTTGCAGTTTCTGCATTTTACAAAATGCACGCTATTCCAATTTCAGAATATGGATGCCCTCTGAATATAAAAGGTACTCAATTAAATTCTCAGATGGACAGTTTATTTACTGAGGAAAGAAAATCAGCTTCAGCCCCTTTTGCCAAACATCATCTCTTCCCCAGAAAAAGGAGAAAAAAATCACTTACATTCCACAGTAGCATGAGATTTTTGCACCACCCCTTTCCACACTGCAAAGCACACAAAGACAAAAAAGAACATTACGTAAAATCCAGGAATATTTTGTCCTGACCGTTGACTTTTTGTTGACCGAGCGTTGACTCGAGAGGGGTGATTGGTACATACCCGGGGGTCCTTCAGTCATGTAAGAACCCCCATGAAATGTCGGCGGCACATGTCGGATGTTGTCACATGGCACCATTGTTACAATTCACATGCTTTCCCATATATGGTGGTTGGAGTTACAGGATCCAAAGGAAAAGTAAAATTCAATAAAATATACCATGCTGATTAATTTAACTGTCAAAAAATATTCAGGAATATTTTATTTTTGCAAATCTGTATGTATGAGCTTGATATTCTATGGTGGGGTTTCATGGAGTTAGACACCGATATGCCTGATCGAGGCCCTACAGTGCGGTCCTTTCTTGAATCCCAAATAGTCGGAAACTGGCCGTAATTGATCGAGCTGTGCAAAGTCTAGAATCAGAGGGCTACGAGTTTGTGGGGGAGTTGAAAGATCTCACATACATTGAAGTGATCCAGCTAAGGGTGCCTGTCTTTGCTGCTAAGAAGCTTGAGCCGCACCTCAAAGTGCCATGTATGTCTTCTCTCGCTTCCCGTTTGTTTGTATGGCTATGACTGTTATGTTCTGTTCCTTGCCTATGCCCCTTGTTTTCTCTTTGATTCATGTTGGCTATGGAGTGTGCCAAGAGTTATCTATGTCTTCAAAAAAGGTCTTTGTCTCATGTCTTTGGCTGTGTGCATGCCTTCGGTTTCTTTTGGAGATTGTTTCTGCCGATTTACCTCAACTTTCGCTAGAGTATCTTGCCTGGCTCTTTGGGATCTTGGCTTATTTTGTAAGGAAATCTGCAGCATGTCTTCTAACGCACAGGTGGTGCCTTGATCTTTTGTGTGACTGCATCCTTTCTAAACTGATTTTTTGTAATTTTGCAGTGGCGAGAGAGCTGAACGCCTGCCCGTCCTTTATCAATAGCGTTTGTTGTGCAGGGGTTGTGGAAGCTATACTACGGAAGTTTGGCGATGACCTGTCGGGAACTATTTCCAGCATGACCGTTCAAAAAAAAGTACCCGCTCACCAAGGTTCCAATTTGCCAGCTACAGGTTCCGGGAGGTTGGCAACCGAGTCTTTTGTGGCATGGTCTGGAGCAGCCTCTTGGTTCTGGAGAGATTCTTTCATTGATGAGAATCAGCAAGCCCCGTCTTTTGATTCTATTCGACATCTCTGGATCCGGAAAGACAGACCTGTCTTTACTTCTCCGGCGTCTGTTCCGATTCTCCTACTGCTGATGGCTCCCGGGACCTGTTGGTTGTGTCCGAGACACTGCAGAGGCTGTATCCAACAGGTCCGATTCCCGTTTCATCCTCAAGACCTGTTTGAGGGCGGTGCTCCTGTGGTATACATACTTTGGCGAGTTTCGGGATGGTCAGTCCCTGCGGCAATATGCTAGCAATATACTAGAGGATTGCAGCGTCATAGACTTTGAGAGGCTTGGGGTGCTGTACAGAGGAAGATATCGGGCTTTTGTTTGAGCAGTAGTATATCCTTTCTAACCCGCAGCTACAGAGTTTTTCTTGGATTATGCCAAAAAGACAACATCCATGAGGTACGTGAAATTTTGCCTGGCGGCAGAGCTGCTCGACTGATGATTGGATGCCACAGGGGTGCATCAGCAAGCAAGGGGATGGGGCACAGTGAACAGGACCATGCTCGATGATGTCTACCGATTTTTTTCAGGAGTGCCGAGTGATGAATCGGCGGCAGCGTAAGTTGTCGCGAACCACTTCTTTGATACAGGAAAGATGGTCGTGCTGAATCCAACGTTATCACTGGTGGAGTTTGGACTTGGGAGAGTTCGTTATAAAGGACACGGGCTGATAAAAGTGGGTGTATCAAGATCAAGACGGAATTATTGGGCATGCTGACGCAAGCGAAGAATGCCAGGCTGTAGAGATCTTCGAGCCGCTGGTTTGTCGTGCCCTTTGGCACTATTTTCAGGAGAATTCCTCCTTGCAACAGATTCAACAGCATCATTTTCTGGACAAGGTCGAATTAAGTACCACTTCTACTGGGGAGGTTTATGAAACTGCCGTTGCAGAGATGAATGGGGAGCGACGTGTCTGGCTGATCTTTTCTCATCGTGGAACACACAGCCGATTCCTGCTATCTACAACAACACTGCAACTCTTGCCAGGCCCAAGGTTGATCACCTGAACCTCGTTGGGACTGAGACAGAGGACTTTCGTTTAATCGATTGGATAAACAGCCTGACTAGCGGTGAAGACAACTTCGTTACTTTCTTTTCGACAGGCAGGAATAAGACTTGCGGCCCGGACATATGGTGGTTTTTGACAGTTACACAACGGACAGCACCTGAGCAGGCAGACAAGCTTCAATGCGCTGGAGAACCAAGTAGTGGGGAGCAGGTAGACGATCTTCAGTCAGTGACAACTTTCATCATATGTGCAGCTCAAATGAAGACTCTCCAGAAAATGGCAAGGAGTGACTATCAGAAGGCTATCTCTTCGTTGGATTTTAACAAGCTATTTTTGCATAAGAAGGGTGGTAAAAAAGTTGTGACGAGGGAAAAGGATGACGAAGGTGCGAAGCGAGTGAGGGAACTCGCAAGCTTTGGGTACAAAACTTGTGGTCACAACGGATTTTGTAGATTTGACGAAGTTCCAGCCAAAGGATAAGCAACATCCAGCAAAGTTGAGGAAGTTGAACACTGCACATTGTCAATAAAAATGGGTTCCAGCAGAATGTGTTCCAGCGTTGCCCGGGGTTATTGATAGTACAAACATTTGCATGTTTGTTGAGTGACCTTACAGGCAACGTCTTCCTGTCTGACTAACCCCAGGTCTTCCACCACCCCTTAGCTAGAAGCTCCACTAGAGCAGCAACATCCTCCTCCTACTCTGGCCAATCCTCCAGCTGCACCAGCGCTGCAGACCACTTGGCAGCTTGGAAGACGCAAGTAGATGGGTGGGCCTCGGCCAACCAGCTTCAGGAAATATGTCGGAGAATGTGATAAAAAAGGCAGCGACTGCTGGCAACGACTGCTCATATTGTATATATGAAGCTATATATACATGGGCTGTGGCAACTGCCTAATGCCACATCATCCTAACTGAGCTAAGCATCTACCTGAGCATCTACTCTCAACAGAATGTTGGTGAGTTTTCATGTTCAAGGCATAGGAGAGGTGAGCAGGACAGTAACTCTTGTGGGGAGCTCAAGAGCATAATTATTATCCACTAACTTCCACTTTGCTTGCACCAATCTTGCTCATTGCTATGGCTTCAATTTTGCCACTAACATGTGGTCTTAGCCATGAATTGCCATGCTCCCACTCTACTGTTACCATGCACTTTAATTTGTAGTCATTTTGCATCTGCCTGCTGAAATCTAACCTCAACACAGTAAACATGTTGAATTCTTGTAGAGATCTGTGCAGAATGTTGTTGAAGGCCCCTTCACATGGGATCACCTTCAATGCATGCTCTTGGTTTGCTGGTCCAATGTCAAGCTTGTACAGTCCTCAAACTTGAATGATGAGCTCTCCAGCCCATGACCAGGGCAAGCTGGAGCTGTGGCATAGTTGTTTTCTCATTGCACGGTGGTGTATCTTCTATGCCCAAATCTAAAGTGTTACTGCATTTCTCAAGTTCAAAGCTGTAGGCAAGAGGCCAGCACTTGAAACTTAGGTGTGATGGAGGTGGCAAGTACATATCAGATGAAGTCAATTGAGTTTGCCAAAAGGCTGGCATTCTTCAAAAATTCACAGCTGTGTATTCTACTGTTGTGCTGAGAGGAAGAATTACACTCTAGGAAAGCACACGAGCTATACTACATGTTAGTGGCTTAGTTGATGCTATTCAAGCCAACTATGTCCAAAATTGGTTACCTACCACTGCTGTGGACGGACATACCTCTGAGGAGGCTGGATTGGCTTGGTTTCACACTTGTGCATCTTTGGCTGTGAAGCTTGGGCCAGATGAAAAAAGCTTGATGCTAAGAATTCTTGGGTTACAGACTGCTTGGTGTGGAGACAAGTGATGGCAGGTTTCCACATCAGAAAACAAGCCAAGTCATCCATCCAAGACACCAAACACCAAGTGTCACACTCATACCCTTATGTACATAACCATATTGCTGTGGTTGTGTTCCATGAATGTTGGGAGGTTGTGGAC